TGCTTTATAGATAACAATCAGCATTTAATTCACTTTAGAACAGTGGGTTCTCAACCTTTTTAATGCCGCGATCCCAGCCGGTTGTAAGTCGAGGACTACCCAACCGGTCGTACGTCGAGGACTACCCAACCGGTCGTAAGTCGAGGACTTTCCCTGCTCGGGAGTGTCACGCATGCGTGGTGCCGTCCCCTGCGCCGACCGAGGCGTAGCTGGCAAGCGGCAGAGACGGCGCAGGCCGACCACCAGCTGGGCCACCAGCTGGCCCAGCCCAAGGGAGGTAAGGCACCCGCCAGGCCCCATGCGCGCCAGCAACCCTCCCTGCACCCGCCGGCCTCCCACCTCCCACCCCTGGCCCTCTTTTACTTACATTTTTAGTAGTTGCTCAGCAGGGAGGGGTGGAAACTTCCGGACAGCTCGCCTTCGCTGCAGACAACTTGCAGCACCGTTTTGGATTTTTGGCGGGCTCAGCAGGGCAGAGACAGCCTGGACAATTCCTATTGGCTTTTGAAAGCCAATAGAATTAGACTCTATTCAAGGGAGTAGCACAGCTAAGGAAAAGGGGGGGGGGGGAAATGGCGGACTGCGTTGTTTGGCGACCCCCGTGAAATGGTCGTTCGACCCCAAATGGGGTCCCGACCCACAGGTTGAGAACCACTGCTTTAGAAGCATATCAGGAAATTTTTCTGCATTCTGGACTGGTTGAAACTTTGAAGTGGTTTTAAAGGGCATGTCGAATACTTTAGTGATTCATGAATGAATGAATGAATGAATGAAGGGCTGTTATTTATTTATTTATGAGACTTATATACTGCTTTAAGTGCAAGCACTCTCTAAGCGGTGTACACCAGTAAGCAATGTATATATATATTTACATTGCCCCCAACAATCTGGTTCCTCATTTTACCTACCCTGGAAGGATGGAAGGCTGAGTCAACCTTGAGCCGGTGAGATTTGAACCGCTGACCTGCTGAACACAGTCAGCTAAAGTGGCCTGCAGTACTGCACTCTAACTGCTGCACCACCTCAGCTCAGTTATCTGGGAAAGGATGCAGATTTTGTGTCATGCCTCCCTCCAGCCTGAATCGAAGGGGGAGCAGGACCCTGTTGAGGTCCAGGAGGAGGTGTCTGTGGCTTCGGAGGACTGTGGGGAAGAGCAGGCTGAGGCAGGCCAGGGCCCTTCAGGTTTGGAACAGGGGAGGCAGAGTTCAAGCGAGGAGCAAGCCCCCCCCACCTGATCCTAGAGCAAGGAGAGCTGAGAGGAGGAGAGAACAACGTAGGCAGGCTCAATTAGGCAGGCTCAATTACTCGGGAGGAGATCGTCGCCAGCCCCACTCCACAAGGCACCCCTGGGGATTAAGATTTAAAGAGATGCTGTGGGGTGGGGCATTTGCCGGGAACAAATGTGGTGTCTTGGGACAGTTGTGAATTGTGTGCTCTTGCCTTTGTTTAACCTGGACACCTTGAATACCAGTCCGGCTGGTTTCCTGCTTTACGACCTGCAGACTGCATTTCTGAGTCTGTCCTTGCAGACTTGCAGGCAAGCTGAGATTTAAAAGGACTTACCGGTATTAAGTTTCTGTTTTGTTTTCTTGTTATCTGCCTGGCCTTGAGGACATTGTATACTTCTCCAGCTGTATTGAAATTGTCTTCAGCCAAAGGCAGCTAAAAGGAATATGTGTGTGTGTTTGTGTGTGCGCGCGCTGCTTGCCTGCACTTTTGTTGAAGGCTTGCCAGCATATGTGGGAGCTTTTGGGGAACATTGGCAGTTACTAAAGGACTGTTTCTGTCGCCAGCTGACTGCTTTGCCTCTGTGCGGGGCCCTGGGTCATCACATTTTGTATCATATCTCTGAAATGGTATAGGGTCTTCTGCTTGAGCAGGTGTTTAAACTAGAAGACTTCCAGTCCCTTCCACTCTGTTATTCTATTAATCACAGCTCCTGCTCAGTGACATGGAAAGTCTTTGCAGAACTTCGACTGGAGCAAAATTTGCAATATTCTTGACTAGACAGGTGCCCTCCGATCTAAGGCCAGAAATGAAATCGTCCCAAATCCAGGCAGGCCAAATAACTACACCCAATTCAGTTTCATGTACATGTAGTCCTTGACTTAACAACAGTTTGTTTAGTGACCGTTCCAAAGTTACAACAGTGCTGAAAAAAAAATGGGACTTAGGACCCTTTTTCATACTTAACGACCGTTGCAGCATCCCCGTGGTCACGTGATCAAAATTCAGACAACTTGGCAACTGACTCGTTTTTAGGATGGTTGCAGTGTCTTGGGGTTATGTGATCATGTTTTTTGTGTCCTTCTGGCGAGCTGAAGCCAGATTCACTTAACAACTGGATTATGAACTTAACAGCTGCGGTGATTCGCTTAACAATGGCAAGAAAGGTTGTAAAGTGGTGCAAAATTCACTTAACAAATATAATAATAATAATAATAATAATAATAATAATAGTAATAAAAAAGTTGAAAGGGACATTGGAGGTCATCTAGTCTAACCCCCTGCTCAGGCAGGAAACCCTATACCATTTCGGACAAATGGCTGTCCAGTCTTTTCTTAAAAACTTCCAGTTTTGAAGCATTCCAGTCATAGAAAATGATAAAATTAAACTGCTCTGGGACTTCAGAATTCAAACAGACAAGCACTTGCAACATAACACCCCAGACTTAACAATTGTCGATAAGAAAGAGAAAAAAGTCTGGATAGTGGACGTGGCAGTGCCTGGAGACAGCAGAATAGAAGAGAAAGAACTGGAGAAGATAACAAAATACAAAGACCTACAAATAGAAATAGAAAGACTGTGGCAAAAGCAAGCAAGGGTAGTACCAATAGTCATAGGCTCCTTGGTGCAATCCCAAAACAACTGGAGCACCACTTGAACACCATTGGCATTGACAAATTCGCTATTAGTCAATTGCAAAAGGCGGCCTTATTAGGAACTGCTTCCATCCTGCGACGATATCTGTAATACCATCAAACATCCACATCTGCCTATCCCAGGTCCTGGGTAAGGACTCGATAGGTAGACAAAATGCCAAATCCAGTCTGAACATCTGGCTGACTGTGCGATGATCAATAGTAATAAAAAAGTTGGAAGGGACATTGGAGGTCATCTAGTCTAACCCCCTGCTCACAGGAAACCCTATACCATTTTGGACAAATGGCTGTCCAGTCTTTTCTTAAAAACTTCCAGTGTTGGAGCATTCACAACTTCTGGAGGCAGGTTGTTCCACTGGTGAATTGTTCCAACTGTCAAGAAATTCCCCCTTAGTTCTAGGTTCCTTCTCTCCTTGATTGGTTTCCATCCGTTGCTTCTTCCCCTGCCTTCAGAAGCTTTGGAGAATAGCTTGACTCCCTTTTCTTTGTGGCAGCTCCTGAGATATTGGAACACTGCTATCCTGTCACCCCTCGTCCTTCTGTTCATGAAACTAGACATACCCAATTCCAGCAACCGTTCCTTATATGCTTTAGCCTCTAGTCCCCTAATCATCTTTGATGCTCTTCTCTGCACTCTTTCTAGAGTCTCAACATCTTTTTTACATTGTGGTGACCAAAACTGGATGCCGTATTCCAAGTGTGGCCTTAACAAGGCATTGTAGAGTGGTATTAACACTTCATATGATCTTGATTCTATCCCTCTGTTATTGCAGTCTAGCTCATTTAGCAGCATCCATTTTGGGCTCAATTGTGATCGAGAACTACCTGTAGATGTTTAGCAGAAGAAGAGATGGCATTGAGCCCATTTGCACCCTACAAAACCATGCAACTGAGCATGGCTCAGGAGCATGGCTGGCTCAGGAATTCTGGGAGTTGAAGTCCATGAGTCACAAAAGAGCCAAGGTTGCCTATACCAAGGTTGACTATACCCTGACCTATACCATTTCAGACAGGTGGCTGTCAAGTTGCTTCTTAAAAACCTCCAGTGATGAAGCACCCACAAGGTCTGGAGGCCAGCTGTTCCACTGGTTAATTGTTCTCACTGTTAGGAAGTTTCTCCTTGGTTGCTTCTCTCCTTGATTAGTGTCTTGTCTTGCCTTCTGGTGCTTTGGAAAATAAGTTGACTCCCTCTTCTTTGTGGTAGCCGCTCAAATATTGGAATACTGCTATCATGTCCTCCCCCCTAGTCCTTCTTTTCCCTAGAGCAGGGGTAGGCAACCTTGGCTCTTTTATGACTCGTGGACTTCAACTCCCAGAATTCCTGAGCCAGCTATGCTATTCTGGGAGTTGAAGTCCACGAGTCATAAAAGAGCCAAGGTTGCCTACCCCTGCCCTAGAGTATCCATACTCAATTCCTGCAACCGTTTTTCAAAGGTTCTAGTCTCCAGACCTTTAATCAAAATATTTTCCACTTTCTCATATAATGTGCTTTTCTGCACAAATATTGGCATTAATCAAAATCCGTGAAGTGACATTCTTGCATTGAGATGTATGCAATGAAATCTCATTTATCAGTGTAGATTTAAAGTGACAATAAAGTATTCTATTCCTCTCCATTCCATTCCATTCTATTCTATTCCATTCCATTCCATATTTTCTATTCTATTCTATTCTATTCTATTCTATTCTATTCTATTCTATTCTATTCTATTCTATTCTATTCTATTCTATTCTATTCCATTCCATTCCATTCCATTCCATATATTCTATTCTACTCTACTCTACTCCACTTCACACCACACCACACCACACCATATTTTCTATTCTGTTCTATTCTGTTCTGTTCTATTCTATTCTATTCTATTCCATTCCATTCCATTCCATTCCATTCCATCTATTCTATTCCATTCCATTCCATCTATTCTATTCTATTCTATTCTATTCTATTCTATTCTATTCTATTCTATTCTATACCATTCCATTCCATTCCATTCCATTCCATAATTCTTAATCCTACAGTCAACATCCATTTGACCCACTGCAGATCTCTTGTTTTACATATTGTTGAACCAAAAGAGAGAACTTACATATAAAACTAAGTCTACTATTTTACACAGGTTCTCATGTCTTTTGAAGAGGTGGCTGTGTATTTTTCCAAGGAGGAATGGTCTCTGCTAGATCCCGATCAAAAAACACTCTACCGAGAAATCATGCTGGAGAACTCCAGAAATTTAGACTTTCTGAGTAAGGACCCTTGCTTTTGTTCTGATGGTTAGAAAAAATGGTTGGGAAAATGCGACTCTTTTTTTTACCTTCCTGGTGAGAGATTGATTAAATGGCAACAGATAATCAATGTTGTTATTATGTTGACTGCTAATTCTTTATCAAAATCCCTGATCCCTGTTTTCACTATCCACAATTGTTTTTCTCCAGTTAATGGCAGGTATTTCAAGACAAGCAACGAATCACAGGTAATCCTTGACTTACGACAAGTTCGTTTAGTGACCGTTCAAAGTTGCAGCGGCACTAAAAAAAAAAAGCGACTTATGATCATTTTTTTTCCACACTTACAAACCTTGCACCATCCCCAGGGTCATGTGATTTACATTCGGATGCTTGACAGCTGGTTCATCTTTATGACGGGATCATGCGATCTCCTTCTAGGAAACAAAGTCCATGGGGAAGCCAGATTCACTTAACAACCGTGTTACCAATTTAACAACTGTAACGGCTCAGCAGTTGTGGCAAGAAACGTTGTCAAATGGGCAAAAACTCGGTTAACACATGTCTCACTTAGCAACATAAATTTTGGGCTCAGTTGCGGTCATAAGTCGAGGACTACCGCGTTTCCCCTAAAATAAGACCCCAACTGGAAAACAAGCCCCCTAGCATGATTTTTCAGGACACTCGTAATATAAGCCCCACCCCCAAAATAAGACCGGATCTTATGTTGATTTTTGCTCCAAAAGACGCATTAGGGCAGGGGTTCTCAACCTTGGCAACTTTAAGACTTGTGGACTTCAACTCCCAGAATTCCTCAGCCAGCAAAGCTGGCTGAGGAATTCTGGGAGTTGAAGTCCATAAGTCTTAAAGTTGCCAAGGTTGAGAACCCCTGCATTAGGGCTTACTTTCGGGAAAATATGGTGCCATGTTTCCCCAAAAGTAAGGCCTACATCAACAATAAGCCCTAGCTTGATTTTTTGGGGAGGGGTGGGCCTAATATAAGCCCTATCCCAAAAATAAGCCCTAGTTTTGGGGTGAGGCACACACCTACAAATCAAGCTAGGGCGGGGGTGGGAGGTGGAGCTGCACCACCCGCCCCGCACCCACTTCCCTTGCAGCCAGGCCTCTCCTTGCCGGCCCACTTCTTCTTCCGAAGCCTCCTCTGCAGCCAGGCCTGCATTTCTCAGTCACGGGGCTTTCCGGAAGGCCTGTGCAGCCAAGAACCGAGCTATGGATTCAATCCATAGCTCGGTTCTGCAAGACCTCAGCAGCCGAGCCCCGAGCTCAGTACTCGACTGCTTAGGCCTCCTGGAAAGGCAAAATGCAGGCCCGAATGCAGCTGCAGAACTTTGGCCCCAGAAGAAGTGGACCGGCTGAGTGGGGCTGTCAGTGCCGGAGGTGAGGTAAGGCCTACTCCGAAAATAAGACCTGGTGCCGCTTTTGGAGGCAAAAAAAAAAAAAAAAAGATCCGCTTATTTTCGGGGAAACACAGTACTAAATGCATCCGTCAGGCTGCCAATCTTAACTGGGGCTTATTTTGGGAGTGGGGCTTATATTGCGAGCATCCTGAATCATCACGCTGGGCTTATTTTCTGGTTATTTTCAAGGAAACATGGTACCTGTAGATCTAGTTAGCACAGTTCCTTGCCGCCATTATCTCCCTTGTTCTCCTCCAGAATAAATATTACCAAGTTCTTTTCCCGGATTCCTCACTTCCTTAAACTGAATTTCAGCTATGACTTCGATAGGAATCCATACGTAGAATTAATTTATTGAACAAAATGGGGTAATGGTGCAAATGACCTTGGGCCAGTCACACACACACACACACACACACACACACAGCCCAACTCGCTTCACAGGGTGGTGGTTGTGGGGAAAATAGGAGGATGAGGAGGAGGACGTTCTGTTGGATATGTTCACCACTTTGAGTTATTTGCAAAAATAATGGAGGGGTGGGGTGTATATAAATAAGTGCATGTGCTTTATTTAAACAAGTATATTTTTTTTTTATTCTTTAAGAAGCTCATAAAATAGAAGCAATCTACTCCTATACTGGGTGGTTTTATTCATATGAATGTTGTAATAACCTGTCACTCAAAGTCCAAATTTTGTAAGGCTTAGACCAGTGGTGGCGAATCTATGGCACACGTGCCAGAGGTGGCACTCAGAGCCCTCTCTGTGGGCACGTGTGCCGTTGCCCTAGCCCCGCCTCCCCCCACAGCCCCCTCCTCACCAGCAGCCCCCCCAGGAGAGTCGCCCCCAAGCGCGGTACGCGCAGAACAGCGCAGCCAAGGACATGGCAGCCAGGCAGCGGGGACAAGACTCCATCCTCGCGCCCTGTCACACGCAGATGATGCTTTGGCGTGTGGACAGAGGACGTGGCTGCCATGGCACTGCTAGGCTGCCTGGGTGATCTGTGGTGGGCCATGGAGGAGGTGGGTGGCCCTGCGGGTGGGTGGGGCGCAGAGCGGGGGTGGGCGGGAGGCGGCGGTTTTGGGGCACTCGGTCTCTAAAAGGTTTGCCATCACTGGCTTAGACCAAGGGTCCCCAATCTTCGGGCCACAGCCCACTAATTCCCCGTTTGTAAGCGGCAGGCAAGCACACATGTGCGAGCAGTGGCTGCTTGCGCTCACGTGCGCAGCTCCACTCATATGAACAGCAGGTGCGCGCTCGCCATTCGCACAGAACTCTGCTCTCTTTCTCCCCCCCCCCCACTTGCTAGGCCGCAAAGCCAACAAGGTTGGGGACCACTGGCTTAGGCCAGAGTGTTTAATGTGAATTAGCAGAACCCCTTTCAACACAGCGCAGACCCCGTGACAGAATTTCACTAGGAAATTTTATTTCCTGTGCTATGAATTTCTCATTTTGCTTCCCCTTTGCCTTGCCTCAATTTTTCATTCATTCCTTTTCTCTGAAGGAAATCACGCGCAGGAGAACGAGGAAGCCTTCCAAAAGTTCAGGGATGGAGAGAGGCAAGAGGAGTTTGCAAAGCCAGTGGGAGCAAACGGAAAAAAACTATCGGCAGATGACAGCCAGGCTTGCCCACCTTCGCCACCTTCTAAAATTCAAGACTTTCTTCCCAAAGGAGATCAGAAAGAAAAAATAAAAGTGGAAAGTGTGGAAACCATTGACGGAGGCTTAGATTTATGTCAGCAATACCCAGTTCGAACTAAAGAAGAGAATCCATGCCAAGAGGATGAAAAACATTACAATAATATCCTTTCTAAACATGGAAAAGCCAGTGTGGGAAATAAACCCTACCAAGAGACCAGTTCCCTTGCTCCCGATGAAAAGATCAATTCAGGGGGGAAACCATATAAATGTATGGAATGTGGAAAGAGTTTTGGCCAGCGCAGATACCTTACTTCCCATAAAATAATCCACACGGGGGAGAAACCATTTAGGTGCATAGATTGTGGAAAGAGCTTTAACCACAAGGCTAACCTTAATTCTCATAGAATGAATCACACAGGAGAGAAACCGTATAAATGCGGTGAGTGTGGAAAGAATTTTACCCATAACTTTCAACTTACGTCCCACAAGAGGATACACACCGGGGAGAAACCGTACAAATGCGCGCAGTGCGGGAAGAGTTTCAACCAGCGCAGTAACCTTAATTCTCATAAAAAAATCCACACCGAGGAAAAACCGCATAAGTGCACGGAGTGTGGAAAGAGTTTTACCCAGAAGGGTAACCTTAAATCCCACAAAAGGGTCCATGTCGGGGAGAAACCTCATAAATGCAAGAAGTGTGGGAAGGCATTCCATTAAAAAAGGGTCCCTTAACTCTACCCAGAATGAGCCACACGGGAGAAGCCATGTAAATGTTTGGAATGTGGAGAGATTCTGCGAAAATCCACGAAACCATAAATTCAGAGGTCCGGGGCTTCAGAAGTGTCCACTTCCAGGGACAATAATGGGCCCGAAGAGATTTCCACCTAGCTATACTATTGCCATCAAGTGGCTGAATCCAGGAAGACAACCACATTTTCAGATGCACCTGGAAGTTTTGAATAATAAAAAACTGTATGTTTGAATTCTTAACGGACTTCCTATCTGAATTGTTGGGGTTAAACATAATAAAAATAAAGTTGGAAGGGACCTTGGAGGTCATCTAGTCCAACCCCCTGCTCAGGCAGGAAACCCTATACTGTTTCAGACAAATGGCTGTCCAGTCTCTTCTTAAAAACTTCCAGTGTTGGAGCATTCACCGGTTCTGGAGGCAGGTGGTTCCACTGATCAATTGTTCTTAACCGTCAGGAAGTTTCTCCTTAGTTCTAGGTTGCTTCTCCCCTTGATTAGTTTCCACCCGTTGCTTCTTGTCCTGCCTTCAGGCATTTTGGAGAATAGCTTGACTAATAACAATAGATGTTTAAGGCAAGTTGTTCTAAGGCTATTCCAGACAATATATTTGGAGAAATTGGGTATGTCTAGTTCAGGGATAGGCAACCTCGGCTTTTATGACTCATGGACTTCAACTCCCAGAATTCCCGAGTCAGCATAGCATAGCTGACTCAGGAATTCCGGGAGTTGAAGTCCATGAGTCATAAAAGAGCCGAGGTTGCCTACCCCTGGTCTAGTTTAATGAAGAGAAGGACTAGGGGTGACATCTCAAGCTATTCTCTAAAGCAGAGGTCCTCAACCTTGGTCCCTTTACAACTTGTGGACTTCAACTCCCAGAATTCCTCAGCCATCATGGCTGGCTGAGGAATTCTGGGAGTTGAAATCCACAAGTCGTAAAGGGACCAAGGTTGAAGACCCCTGCTCTAAAGCACCTGAGGGCAGGACAAGAAGCCACAGGTGGAAACTAATCAAGGAGAGAAGCAACTTAGAACTAAGGAGAAACTTCCTGACAGTGAGAACAACTTTCCTCCAGAAGTTGTGAATGCTTTAACACTGGAGGTTTTTAAGGAGAGATTGGACAACCATTTGTCTGAAATGGTATAGGGCAGGGGTAGGCAACCTCGGCTCTTTTATGACTCATGGACTTCAACTCCCAGAATTCTGGGAGTTGAAGTCCATGAGTCATAAAAGAGCCGAGGTTGCCTATCCCTGGTATAGGGTTTCCTGTATGAGCAGGAGGTTGGACTAGATGACCTCCAAGATCCCTTCCAACTCTGTTATTCTAGTCCAGTCCAGTCTTATTCCTATTCTGTTGCCTTCCATTCTTGTCTGTAAATGATCAGGCAGCTCCACCTCGGACACTGCCTAATCATCTGCTTACCCCCAAGTCACACCACCAGTTCAGATATCCCAAATAAAAGAGAATAACAGAGTTGGATGGGACTTTGGAGGTCTTCTAGTCCAACCCCCTGCTCAAGAAGGAGACCTGTATCATTTCAGACAAATGGTTGTCCAATCTCTTCTTAAAAACCTCCATTGTTGGAACATAACTTCTCTTGACTGAGCCACTGCTGCTGGAAAGATTCACATAGGATTTAAAGGGGACTTTCCCTATTTGAGCGATCCCATTATTTTTTATTTTTTATCCATTTATATTCTTATGCCATCCTAAAGGACCAGTATGATGGGTGCTTCTTGTGTTCAAAATATTGGGCTGATGTTTCTCCTTTTCAAATTATTCCTCTTTTAAACTTCTTACAATTAGCCCTTTGCAGCCTTACATTTCCCTACCTTGTAATTCCTGAGGTAAAATTTTGAGAAGGGTGTTTTTTTAAATACATTTTTTCTCTCCTTCAGATCTTTTTCTTTAAATATTTATCATTTTCTTCAGAGTTTTCGTCCCTTACCCACCCTTTGGCCCCATACTCAAGGCCACCATCTCTACCTATCCTGGATCTGTGGTAACCTCTGAATAAAGTGGCTTATAATCACTGAGGGAAACCTTTTAGAAAAGAAGTACGAGGCTAAAAATTCAGAAGTGCTATTTTCAAGAAGAAATAACTTTATGCTATGCTTCTGAACCCTTCATATTGGCCATGTTCCTCAAGTGTGGAGACTTTTCACCTCAGACCCTTTAGACAGATAGGTCTTCTGACGTTCCATGTTCCAGTTGAGTCTCAGTTTATTATTATTTATTAAATTTATTGGCTGCCCATTTTACTGCAGGATAACTGGGCGGCTTACAATCATAAAAATTCTCTCCCTCTCTCTTTCTTCTCTCCGGATAGCCCTCAACTTAACAACAGTTCCTTTAGTGACCATTCAAAAGTTACAGTGGCACTGAAAAAAAGTGACTTGTGACCGCTTTTCCCGCTTAACAACCGTTGCAGCATCCCCATGGTCATGAGATCAAAATTCAGATGCTTGGCATCTGATTCATATTTATGACGGTTGCAGTGTCCCAGAGTCATGTGATCCCCTTTTGTGACCTTCCAGCAAGCAAAGTTGATGGGGAAGCCAGATTCACTTAACAGCCATGCTCCTAACTTAACTACAGCGATTCATTTAACAACTGTGGCAAGACAGGTCGTAAAATGTGGCAAAATTCATTTAATACTTAGCAACCTAAATTTTGGGGTCAGTTGGGCTTGCAAATTGAGGACTGCCTGGATGTGTGTGTGGGGTTTTTTTGTGTGTGTGTGTATATATGCGCTAAATTTTTGGGTTGCTAACAAAGAGTTAAAGGGGGACTGGGATAGCTATTTCGAGCTGATTAGCTCTCATCAGCCAGCCATACCACTCTGAGATTTGAATCTGGGCTGCTGTGTTGACCCCTACACCACAGGCTCTTTCTCACTTTGTCAGCTGCATCAGGGAGGGAAGAGACAGGGGAGGAGATATGTCTTAAGTATTTTTTTGATAAACCTGTTGGCCCAAATATGGGAGGAAGAAATCTTTTGCCTGTATCAGCTAAATTTAGCGCACAAATGATGTCGCAGTAGCGACTGCTGCCTGTGGATAGCTCTAGATCAGTGGTTCTTAACCTGTGGGTTGGGACCCCATTTGGGGTCGAACGACCATTTCTCGGGGGTTGCCAAACAATGCAGTCCGCCATTTTTTCCCCCTTTTCCTTAGCTGTGCTACTCCCTTTTATTCTATTGGATTTTGAAAGCCAATAGAATAGACTCTCTTGAATAGAGTCTAATTCTATTGGCTTTCAAAAGCCAATAGGAATTGTCCAGGCTGTCTCTGCCCTGCTGAGCCCGCCAAAAGTCCCCTTCTGCAAACGGTGCTGCACCAGTTGAGTAGTCCTCAACTTACAACCAGTTGAGTAGTCCTCGACTTACGACCGGTTGGGGGGTCGCGGCATTAAAAAGGTTGAGAACCACTGCTCTAGATTGAGCTGATACAGGCAAAAGATTTCTTCCTCCCATATTTGGGCTGACAGGTGTATCAAAAAAAACAATATATATACGAAGAGAGAGAATTTTTTATGATTGTAAGCTGTGGGAGAGAGAACGAAAAACAAGTTATAAGTTTAGAACTGGTTCTCCAGAGAGATGTTTATGGAGATTCTCAATCATTCAGGTCATGATTGTCCCAAAGGTGCCTTTTCCAAAAGGCAACTGGACTTCCTTGGGTTTTTGTTTTTTTTTCCTTTGAAAACGTTTCCTTTCTCATCCAAGAAGCTGAATTGAATGAGCCGAGGTGGCGCAGCAGTTAGAGTGCAGTACTGCAGGCCACTTTAGCTGACTGTGTTTAGCAGGTCAGCGGTTCAAATCTCACCGGCTCAGGGTTGACTCAGCCTTCCATCCTTTTGGGGTAGGTAAAATGAGGACCCAGATTGTTGGGGGCAATGTAAAGATATATATATACATTGCTTACTGGTGTACACCGCTTAGAGAGTGCTTGCACTTAAAGCGGTATATAAGTCTCATAAATAAATAAATAAATAAATAAATAAATTGAACTGAAGAAGCTTCTTGGATGAGAAGAGAAACGTTTCCAAAGAAAAAACCAAGCCAGCATGGTTGCCTTTTGGAAAAAACCACCCTTGGTTCTTCAGAAGAGCCGCAAGAGCAAAGATCATTCGAATGCGCTATTTTACCAGAAGGACGACACACCTTTATGCTGCACTTCTGAATCCTGCTTCACAGTATTTAGTACAATATTTATCCTGTTCCTCAGATGTGGAGACTTTTTCCTTCAGGATCCTTTGGGGAGAAGGTCTGGAGGCTAAAACATGAGGAACGGTTGCTGGAATTGGGTATGTCACTAGTTTAACAAAGAGAAGGATGAGGGGGGACATGATAGCAGTGTTCCAATATCTCAGGGGCTGCCACAAAGAAGAGGGAGTCAAGCTATTCTCCAAAGCCTCTGAAGGCTTTTCTTCTTCTTCTTCTTCTTCTTCGTGTCCAATAGAGGCTCAGTTTTGAATTGGTGGTCTATGGAGATTCTCCGCCATCCAGGTCATGGTGGTCCCAAAAGTGCTTTTTCACGAGGCAACTGGACTTTCTTTTTTTCTCTTTGAAGACATTTCGCTTCTCATCCAAGAAGCTTCTTCAGCTTCTCCACCATCCACTCAGAGCTGAAGAAGCTTGTTGGATGAGAAGTGAAACGTCTTCAAGGAGAAAAAAGAAAGTCCAGTTGCCTCATGAAAAAGCACCTTTGGGACTTTTGAATTGGTTCTTGACAGGTCCATATCGGAGACTCCATTTTCTCTACAGCCACTGAATCCAAGTTAAGGAGTTTTAAGTCTTGCTCGGCCCAAAATAAACCACTTTCCAGCTTCTGTCTAGACTAGAGTGACTTCCTTGAAAGGAGAAGCACTTGACACCCTCTTCCCTCAGTAGAGCTGGCCAAAGCAGATGTTGTTTGGGAAGCCATTGAGGTTTTAGGTCCACCGTGCACCCCATTTCATCCCCGGACGCCTGTGGCTCAGAGGATGCAAACCGAGGCAGGTGGGAGATTCCCTTCTTTTTTGCTGATCTCGGCATAAAAGGGGCTGAGTGTCTATGGCAGTGGTTCTCAACCTGTGGGTCGGGACCCCATTTGGGGTCGAACGGCCATTTCACGGGGGTTGCCAAACAATGCAGTCCGCCATTTCCCCCCCCCCTTTTCCTTAGCTGTGCTACTCCCTTTTACTCTATTGGCTTTTGAAAGCCAATAGAATAGACTCTCTTGAATAGAGTCTAATTCTATTGGCTTTCAAAAGCCAATAGGAATTGTCCAGGCTGCCTCTGTCCTGCTGAGTCCGCCAAAAGTCCCATTCTGCAAACGGTGCTGCAAGTTGTCTGCAGCAAAGGCGAGCTGTCTGGAAGTTTCCACCCCTTCCTGCTGAGCAACTACTAACAATGTAAGGAAAAGAGGGCCAGGGGTGGGAGGTGGGAGGCCGGCGGGCGCAGGGAGGGTTGCTGGTGTGCGTGGCGCCCGGTGGGTGCCTTACCTCCCTTGGGCTGGGCCAGCTGGTGGCCCAGCCGGTGGTCGGCCTGCGCCGTCTCTGCCGCTTGCCAGCTGCGCCTCGGCCAGCGCAGGGGGCGGCATCATGCATGCCGGCGCTCCTGGGCAGGGAAAGTCCTCGACTTACGACCGGTTGGGTAGTCCTCAACATATGACCGGTTGGGTAGTCCTCGACTTACAACCGGCTGGGGTCGCGGCATTAAAAAGGTTGAGAACCACTGGTCTATGGAGATGCTGAGTCATCCAGGTGATAGTTGTCACAAAGATGGTTTTTCACAAGGCAACTTTGTTCTTTCTTGTTTGCCATGGTGGCGCAGGGCTTAGAATGCAGTACTGCAGGCTACTTCTGCTGATTGCTGGCTGCCAGCCATTCGGCAGTTCAATTCTCAGTGGCTCAAGGTTGAGTCAGCCTTCCATCCTTCGGAGGTCGGTAAAACAAGGAGCCAGATTGTTGGGGGTAGGATGTAAACCATTTAGAGAGGGCTGTGAAGCACTGTGAAGCAATATATATGTCTAAGTGCTATTGCTATTGAAGACATCAGAGACGCAAAACAGAGCAGAATCAATCGGAATATAGCCGGAAGGGACCTTGGAGGTCTTCTAGTCCAGCCCCCTGCTCAAGCAGGAGACCCCTACAGCATTTCAGATCAATGACTATCCAGTCTTTTCTTTAAAACCTCCAGTGATAAAACACCCCCAACTTTTGGTGGCCAGCTGTTCCACTGGTTAATTGTCCTCACTGTTAGGAAGTTTCTCTTTAATTCCAGATTGCCTTTCTCCTTGATTAATTTCCATCCATTGTTTCTTGCCCTGCCCTCCGGTGCTTTGGAAAATAAATTGACACCCCACCCCTTCTTTGTGGCATTCTCCCTCTCTCTCTCTCTCTCTCTCTCTCTCTCTCTCTCTCTCTCTCTCTCTCTCTCTCTCTCTCTCTCTCTCAATCTCTCTCTCAATCTCTCTCTCTCTCTCTCTCTATCTCTCTCTCAATCTCTCTCTCTCTCTCTCAATCTCTCTCTCTCTCTCTCTATCTCTCTCTCAATCTCTCTCTCTCTCTCAATCTCTCTCTCAATCTCTCAATCTCTCTCTCTCTCAATCTCTCTCTCTCTCTCAATCTCTCTCTCAATCTCTCTCTCTCTCAATCTCTCTCTCAATCTCTCTCTCTCTCTCAATCTCTCTCTCTCTCTCAATCTCTCTCTCAATCTCTCTCTCTCTCTCTCAATCTCTCTCTCTCAATCTCTCTCTCAATCTCTCTCTCTCTCTCTCTCTCAATCTCTCTCTCAATCTCTCTCTCTCTCTCTCTCTATCTCTCTCTCAATCTCTCTCTCTCTCTCTCAATCTCTCTCTCTCTCTCTCTATCTCTCTCTCAATCTCTCTCTCTCTCTCAATCTCTCTCTCAATCTCTCAATCTCTCTCTCTCTCAATCTCTCTCTCTCTCTCAATCTCTCTCTCAATCTCAATCTCTCTCTCAATCTCTCTCTCTCTCTCAATCTCTCTCTCTCTCTCAATCTCTCTCTCAATCTCTCTCTCTCTCTCTCAATCTCTCTTAATCTCTCAATCTCTCTCTCAATCTCTCTCTCTCTCTCAATCTCTCTTTTTCAATCTCCCTCTCTCAATCTCTCTCTCAATCTCTCTCTCTCTCAATCTCTCTCTCAATCTCTCTCTCTCAATCTCTCTCTCAATCTCTCTCTCTCTCTCTCTCTCAATCTCTCTCTCTCTCAATCTCTCTTTTTCAATCTCCCTCTCTCAATCTCTCTCTCAATCTCTCTCTCTCTCTCAATCTCTCTCTCAATCTCTCTCTCTCAATCTCTCTCTCAATCTCTCTCTCTCTCTCTCTCAATCTCTCTCTCTCTCAATCTCTCAATCTCTCTCTGTCAAAAAAGAAAAAAGCTCTTCCCCATCACCCAATCAGAACCGAAGAAGCTTCTTGGATGATAACATAACAGATAACAGAGTTGGAAGGGACCTTGGAGGTCATCTAGTCCAACCCCACCCACCCCCGCCCAAGCAGGAGACCCTACCATTTCTGACAGATGGCAGTCCCGTCGCTGGCCTGGAAGAGAAACGTCTTCAAAGAAGAAAAAAAAAAACATCCAAGAAAGTCCAGGTGCCTCGTGAAAGAAAAAGCACCTTTGGGGACGAAAGAGGTTGAGATGCAGGCGGCGCCCGCGGGCGCTCGGTTGAAAGGCGAACACATGTGAATCCCTTTCCCCCCCCCTTCACGGAGTGGGGGGGGAGGCTGAAGTCGCGCCTCTGGGGAGGAGGGGCCTGGAAGAGAGGGCGGGGCAAGCAGATGCCATTCAAGGGGGGGGGGAATACCCCACCAAAGGGGCGCTTACAGGGGCTTCAGGCGGACCACACGAGAAGGCGCCGGCCGGCGAGGGCGGAGGAATCGCGGTCAGGCCAGGCGATGGCGGCGGAGGCGGCGCTGGGCATCTCCCCGGAGCAGCTGGAGCGCAGGCTGGCCGAAGCCGAGGCGCTGCTGGCGGCGCGCGTCTCCCCGCCGGTCCAGGCCCGCTGGCGCTGGGCGGTGAAGCTGGACGAGCCGCCGGACCTGGAGCGCTTCTGCGCGCAGCTCAGCCAAGCCCGCCGAGGCCGGGAGGCGCTGCTGGCCCGCGACGCGGCGCTGTCGGAGGCCGAGCAGGAGCGGCTGCAGGGGCTGCTGCGGCTGGAGATGGCGCTCCTGCGCGGCATCCGAGCGCTGGGCGCCGGCCCGGCCGCCCCACCGGGACGGAGGCGCGGGAGGAAGCCCGGCGGGGCGGCGCTGCGGGCGGCCCTGCTGGGGCTGGCGGCAGAGCTGGAGGGAGCGGAGGCAGCAGACCTGTCCGGAAGTGCTGCGCCTGCTCTGGAGGCGCTGCTGGAGCGGCGGCCGCGCGAGGCGCTCCGGGCGCTGGAGCCGCGGGAGGAAGACCGCGCCCGGCCGGGGCGGCAGCGCCTGCCGGCCCTGCTCCAGGCCCTGCGGGAGGAAGGCTGGGTCGAGCGAGCCGACGAGCTGCCCCTGGAGGAGCTGCGCCCGCTGCTGGAGAAGGCGCTGCGCCTGGCGCGGAGGAGAGCGCCCAGCTGCCCGGCTGCGGAGCTGGAGAGCGCTGTGCGAACAAGTCCGTTGCAGATGCTGGTGAAGGAGGAAGAGGATGATGATGATGATGAAGATGAGGTTCCAAATGGGACCGTGCCAAAAGTCTCCCTGGAGGAGGCGGGACTGGGGCACAGGTCCCCCCCAGAGGTCCCTGCAGAGAGGACCCCGGAAAACCCCCACCAGGAGCATCTTGTGCCAGGAAAGATGGTGCCCGCTGAATTAAGCTCTCACCTTCCGAAGACCAAGGCCTGTGGACTACAGGTGGAGATGGACGCTCCCTGTTTGAAGGACGTCCCAGGGAGGGAGAACTCCGCACGAGGCCCCCACCAGGAGCACCTTGCGCCAGGAAAGATGGTGGCCGTGGACTTCAGGTCTCCCTTGGCGAAGGAGGCATCTGGGCTGCAAGCGGAGATGGACACTCCCCGTCTGAAGGACATCCCAGGGAGGGAGAACTCCACAAGAGGCCCCCACCAGGAGCACCTTGCGCCAGGAAAGATGGTGGCCATGGACTTCAAGTCTCCCTTGGCGAAGGAGGCATCTGGGCTGCAAGCGGAGATGGACGCTCCCCGTCTGAAGGACATCCCAGGGAGGGAGAACTCCACAAGAGGTCCCCACCAGGAGCACCTTGCGCCAGGAAAGATGGTGCCAGCTGACTTAAGCTCTCACCTTCTGAAGGAGGCATGTGAACTACAGGTGGAGATGGACGCTCCCTCTTTGAAGGATGCTCCATGGAGGAAAGTGGAAGGCCTTCAGAACGTTCTCTGTGAAACAACCAGGGGGAAAATGGGTGCGCTGCCATCCGGCTTGTGGGACCAGGGCCCTCGGAAGATGTGCAGCCATCTCCACCAGCTTTGCTGCCAGTGGCTGCAACCCGAAAAGAACACCAAGGGTCAGATGCTGGACCTGGTGATCCTGGAGCAATTCCTGGCTATCCTGCCCTCAGAGATGGAGAGCTGGGTCCGGGAGTGCGGAGCAGAGACCAGTTCCCAGGCGGTGGCCCTGGCTGAAGCTTTCCTCCTGAGCCAGATGGAGGAAAAGAAGGAGAAGCCAGAAGTTCAGGTGAGGGATCTTCAGCTGGCAAGTTCAAAGCGGGATATGAAAGAATAACCATACGTTGGGATTCTTAACAGTTTCCCTTAATAATGTTTTAAAGGTGTTTCTTAACTCTTGCATAGTAATAGTAGTAAGGTTGGAAGGGACCTTGGAGGTCATCTAGTCCAACCCCCTGCTCAGGCAGGAAACCCTACACCATTTCGGACAAATGGCTGTCCAGTCTCTTCTTAAAAATTTCCAGTGTTGGAGCATTCACTGCTTCTGGAGGCAGGTTGTTCCACTGATTAATTGTTCTCACTGTCAGGAAGTTTCTCCTTAGTTCTAGGTTGCTTCTCTCCTTGATTAGTTTCCACCCGTTGCTTCTTGTCCTGCCTTCAGGTGCTTTGGAAAATAGCTTAATTCCCTCTTCTTTATGGCAGCCCCTGAGATATTGGAATACTGCTATCATGTCCCCCCTTGTCCTTCTCTTCGTTAAACTAGACATACCCAATTCTAGCAACCGTTCCTTATATGTTTTAGCCTCCAGTCCCCTAATCATCTTTGTTGCTCTTCTCTGTACTCTTTCTAGAGTCTCAACATCTTTTTTACATCGTGGTGACCAAAACTGGATGCAGTATTCCAAGTGTGGCCTTACCAAGGCATTGTAGAGTGGTATTAATACTTCACGTGTTCTTGATTCTATCCCTCTGTTAATGCAGCCTAGCACTGTGTTGGCCTTTTTGGCATCTGCAGCACACTGCTGGCTCATATTTAGGTGATTGTCTACTAGGACTCCGAGGTCCCTCTCACAGGGACCTTGCTAAGGAAAGATGTTCAAGGCAACTTATTCCACTAAGTAGTCAGTGAGAATTTGCTTTGATTTTTTCCCGTAAATTCTCTTACTTGCACCAAGGTCGTTTGCATTCTTTTAGAGAGTTGTTGAGGCCACTTGGGGGTTTACCTATGTCCTCAGGGACACCTGAGTAGTGCAAATGTGTGTAGAGCCTTCTTGCCTGCAGGATGTTTTCTGCCCGGGGTCTGTTCACTGTTGAAGACAGGCCTGGGTGGTGGGGAATGGAAGGATTTATACTCCTTACAGACAGCTGGTCGTTTGCCTCAAAGACTCTATAAAGCAGTGGTTCTCAACCTTTTTAATGCCACGACCCCCAACCGGTCGTAAGTCGAGGACTACTCAACCGGTCGTAAGTCGAGGACTATTCAACTGGTACAGCACCGTTTGCAGAATGGGACTTTTGGCGGGCTCAGCAGGGCAGAGACAGCCTGGACAATACCTATTGGCTTTTGAAAGCCAATAGAATTAGACTCTATTCAAGAGAGTCTATTCTATTGGCTTTCAAAAGCCAATAGAATAAAAGGGAGTAGCACAGCTAAGGAAAAGGGGGAAAAAAATGGCGGACTGCGTTGTTTGGCGACCCCCGTGAAATGGTCGATCGACCCCAAATGGGGTCCTGACCCACAGGTTGAGAACGACTGCTCTAAAGGAGCCTGAATGGCTCTCTAAAACGGGTGTCAAACTGCCGGCCCGTGGGCCGGTTTCATCATACCGGAACCACGCCCACCCCATTGCCGGCAATGGCGAAAAAGCTCCGATACATTGCGCGACATCACGTGACGTTGCGAGTTTGACATCCCTGCTCTAAAAGGATGCAAATGACCAGCTGTCTCCAAGGAGTATAAATCCTTCCATTCCCCACCATCCAGTAAGAGCTGAAGAAGCTTCTTGGATGAGAAGCGAAACGTCTTCAGAGGAAAAAAAAAACCAAGAATGTCCAGTTGCCTCCTGAAAAAGTATCTTGGGATAACCATGACCTGGATGATATGCTCATTCAAGAGTCAAGGTGGCACAACAGTTAGAGTGCAGTACTGCAGGCCACTTTAGCTGACTGTGTTCAGCAGGTCAGCGGTTCAAATCTCACCGGCTCAAGGTTGACTCAGCCTTCCATCCTTCCGGGGTAGGTAAAATGAGGACCCAGATTGTTGGGGGCAATGTAATATTATATATATATATATATATATATAATATTATATTATATATATATATATATATACACACATTGCTTACTGGTGTACACCGCTTAGAGAGTGCTTGCACTTAAAACGGTATATAAGTCTCATAAATAAAGAAATAAATAAATTTATCTTCAGTCTACAACACAGATAAACCTCCAAGTGGCCTCAATGACTCTAAAAGGATGCAAATGACCAGCTGTCTGCAAGGAGTATAAATCCTTCCATTCCCCACCATCCAGTCAGAGCCGAAGAAGCTTCTTGGATGAGAAGCGAAACGTCTTCAGAGGAGAAAAAAACAACAAGAAAGCCCAGTTGCCTCCTGAAAAAGTATCTTGGGATAACCATGACCTGGATGACTACGAATCTCCATAGACATTCTCTTACGTGCACCTCTTTGCTTCTCCAGATCCTTCATTTCCAGAGGCCAGAGTTGAAGTCCATCTCTGTGAACCCCGAGGAAAGGAGGGATCGTCCAGATCCTTCCCAAGTGTTGCCTTTCAGGAGGATCTTCCATGAAGATCAAAGTCAAGACACCTCCTGCGGTAAGAGAAGCTTCCTCGGGGAGAAAGCCGTTTGCATCTCGTTATTTTGGATCTCCTTTGCTTCCCTATGTTACTAACGATGTGTCTTAAAATTCTGCTTGTGTCACTTTTGCTCACAGAGGATGGAAAGTCGGTATTCATAGGTTCTTCTCCTTTTTCTGATGGAGTTGAAAAAACAGTTGAACTCCCAACTCAGGTATTATTTATTTTATTTTAATTTACTAGATTTGCGTGCTGCCCATTTTGTCTAGAGCAGTGGTTCTCAATCTTTCTAATGCCGCGTCCCCATAATACAGTTCCCCATGTTGTGGTGACCCCCAACCACTTATACATCACCGGGTGCCAGGGGCGTGGCCAAAGAAAAGGGGGAAAAAATGGCGGACAGCTTTGTTTGGCGACCCCCGTGAAATGGTTGTTCGACCCCAAATGGGGTCCCAACCCACAAGTTGAGAACCACTGGTCTAGAGCAGCGTTCCGCAACCTTTCTGGATTGGTAGCCTGGAATGGGGGGGGAGGGGGGAAAGAAGGGATGATTTTGTGGGAGGGGCAGGCGCATTTGGGTGCGTGAGCACCTACGACATTCCCGGCGATGCTCGCACGAGTGGGGTCACAAGAAGTGACTGGACAGCCGTTTGTCCGAAATGGTGTAGGGTTTCCTGCCTGAGCAGGGGGTTGGACTAGATGACCTCCAAGGTCCCTTCCAACTTTACTACTATTATTAGATATGCCTATCTGTGAATTGATCCAAAAAGCTACTTTGATTCATTTATAGAAGGACCATAAAAGTTGTGCAAGCATAGTTTGTTTGACACAATGGCCATTGCCAACCAGCGCTTCTGAGAGACCAATAAACGACACCGTTTAATTATAACTTGCAGTCTTTTCATAGATTGAACCAGTTGGACTGATACAAAGGGAGACAGGTGTTTTCTTAAATATCTGGGTCCTTTGCTATAGAGTGCTTTATAGGTCACAACAATTCAGTTCAAATTTCCTACCCTTGTAAGGCCAGATAAAGCAGAACTGAACCATACCAAGAACCAATTCTGCATTCTGAACCAATTAAAACGTGTAGGTGGCAATGCAGGCCAGCCCCATGTATGTATATGAGTGAGTGAGTGACTGAAGGGTGTTCATCCCAATGTGCATTGCTAAATGTGTGTGGAGATTTTCAGCCATGCAGGTCATAGTTGTCCCAAAGATGGTTTTTACAGGGCAACTGGACTTTCTTGTTTTTCTTTGAAGAAATTTCGCTTCTCAGCCATGAAACTTCTTCAGCTCTGACTGGATGGTGGGGGAATGGAAGGATTTATACTCCTTGCAGACAGCTGGTCATTTGCATTCTTTTAGAGAGTTGTTGAGGCCATTTGGAGGTTTACCTGTGTCCTCAAGGTCACCCGAATAATAATAATAATAATGATGATGATGATGATGATGATGATGATGTACAAAGACCTACAAATAGAAATAGAAAGACTGTGGCAAAAGCAAGCAAGGGTAGTACCAATAGTCATAGGCTCCTTGGGTGCAATCCCAAAACAACTGGAGCACCACTTAAACACCATTGGCATTGACAAATTCGCTATTAGTCAATTGCAAAAGGCGGCCTTACTAGGAACTGCTTCCATCCTGTGACGATATCTGTAATACCATCAAACATCCACATTTGCCTATCCAGGGTCCTGGGTAAGGACTCGATAGGTAGACAAAATGCCAAATCCAACATCTGGCTGACTGTGCGATGATCCATAATAGTAGTAGTAGTAGTAGTAGTAGTAGTAGTAGTAGTAGTAGTAGTAGTAAAGTTGGAAGGGACCTTGGAGGTCATCTAGTCCAACCCCCTGCTCAGGCAGGAAACCCTATACCATTTCGGACAAATGGCTGTCCAGTCTCTTCTTAAAAACTTCCAGTGTTGGAGCATTCACCGCTTCTGGAGGCAGGTTGTTCCACTGGTTAATTGTTCTAACTGTCAGGAAGTAGTGCAAATGGGTGTGGAGACTTCTTGGCTGCAGATGTTTTCTGCCCTATGTCCCTTTACTGTTGAAGAATGCAATAAAAGAATGCAAATGACCAAGCTGTCTGCAAAGAATATAAATCGTTCCATTCCCAGAAATTAATCCTAACAAGTGTCTTTCCCAAAGATGCTTTTTCAGGAGACAACTGGACTTTTTTGTTTTTCTTTGAAGACGTTTTGCTTCTCATCCAAGAAACTTCTTCAGCTCTGACTGGATGGGGGGGAAGGATTTATACTCCTTACAGACGGCTGGTCATTTGCATTCTTTTAGAGAGTTGTTGAGGCCACCTGGAGGTTTATCTTGGATGAGAAACTTCTTGGATGAGAAGCAAAACGTCTTCAAAGAAAAACAAGAAAGTCCACTTGCCTCATGAAAAAAGCATCTTTGGGATGACAGAAGGGCCTTGCAGTCTAGGAAAAGAGGCAAATGGTACACCAGTTGAAGGTTTGCGAAGTCCTTTCTGGTCATTGAGCAAGTTTCAGGTTGTGCACCAACCTTGAAAGGGGATGTGCCACCTCATCAAGATCAGAGATGAAATATCTTCCAGATCTGAGTGGCTGCGGGCTGAAAGAGATCTAGATCAGCGTTTCTCAACCTATGGGTTGCGAACCCATTTGGGGTCGAACGACCATTTCACGGGGGTCGCCAAACAACGCAGTCGGCCATTTTTTTCCGCCTTTTCCTTAGCTGTGCTACTCCCTTTTATTCTATTGGCTTTTGAAAGCCAATAGAATAGACTCTCTTGAATAGAGTCTAATTCTATTGGCTTTCAAAAGCCAATAGGAATTGTCCAGGCTGTCTCTGCCCTGCTGAGCCCACCAAAAGTCCCATTCTGCAAACGGTGCTGCATCAGTTGGGTAGTCCTCGACTTACGACCGGTTGAGTAGTCCTCGACTTACGACCGGTTGGGGGTCGCGGCATTAAAAAGGTTGAGAACCACTGATCTAGATAATCTGTTTCCTCAGATATTGTGCTTCATCCACAAATGTTACACCAGTCAAATGCTGTGAACTCTTTTTTTTTTTCACATCAGATTTTTAACCCTGCAGAGCATGTCCCAAAGGTGCTTTTCCAAAAGCCGACCGGAGTTGGATTTTTTTTTTCCTTGAAGACATTTCGCTTCTCATCTAAGAAGCTTTTTCAGCCCAGTTCTTCACCCAACGTCTTGGATGAGAAGCGAAATGTCTTCTAGGGAAAAAAAAAAAAAGTCCAGTTGCCTTTTGAAAAAGCATCTTTCGGACAACCATGAGACGGGTGACTGAGAATCTCCATAGACGTGCTGCAGAGCATGCCTATTTTAATCCATTGGAAGCCTTTAGGGATTTGAGAATCCCAAAAGAGAGAATTTATGACATTTGGAGGGGAGGGGGCTATTAAGCGAATAACTGCATTTACAAGAGCAAACGTCTGGTTTTTAAGTGGATTGCAATGGTCATAAGGGTGAACCCATTGCTTGCTCTGGATGCAGTTTTGTCGAAAACTGAAGTTAGTGCTGGTTTTTGGTAAAAGAGCCGAGGTGGCTCAGCAGTTAGAGTGCAGTACTGCAGGCCACTTTAGCTGACTATGTTCAGCAGGTCAGCGGTTCAAATCTCACCAGCTCAAGGTTGACTCAGCCTTCCATCCTTCCGGGGTAGGTAAAATGAGGACCCAGATTGTTGGGGGCAATGTAAATATATATATATATACATTGATTACTGGTGTACACCGCTTAGAGAGTGCTTGCACTTAAAGCGGTATATAAGTCTCATAAATAAATAAATAAATAAAAACCATCCCGAACCATGGTCACATGACTGCTGGACATGGCAAATGGCAGTAAATGCAGCCATGTTGCTGTGGGCCCAAAGCGTGGTCATGTGACCATGTGGTGGTGGAGGCGTGAGCCTCAGAACTTTAAATGTGGGTCATAGGTCCCCTTTTTCAGGCAGGCTGTAACCTTGTAAGTCAAGGCCTATCTGTAAAGGTCTCCAGATCTGGACTGTACGAACCTGAAGCTTGACTTGAAACAGATCTAAAGACTCCCTTTCCTTAGATCAGTGGTTCTCAACCTTTTTAATGCCGCGACCCCCAACCGGTCATAAGTCGAGGACTACTCAACCGGTTGTAAGTCGAGGACTACTCAACTGGCGCAGCACCGTTTGCAGAATGGGACTTTTGGCGGGCTCAGCAGGGCAGAGACAGCCTGGACAATTCCTATTGGCTTTTGAAAGCCAATGGAATTAAGACTCTATTCAAGAGAGTCTATTCTATTGGCTTTCAAAAGCCAATAGAGTAAAAGGGAGTAGCACAGCTAAGGAAAAGGAGGGAAAAAATGGCGGACTGCGTTGTTTGGCGACCCCCCGTGAAATGGTCGTTCGACCCCAAATGGGGTCCCGTCCCACAGGTTCAGAACCACTGCCTTAGATAATTAGCTTCATCCACCAATCTTGCTTCCCTCAAATGCTGTGAACTCTTGACAGTTTTTTTTTTTCACATCAGATTTTTAGCCCCGTAGAAGGTGTCCATTTAACCCACTGCAAAACTTTGCTTCGGGATTCTTGAATCAAAAGGAGAGCATTCGCATAGAATCAGAATAAAGCTGGAAGGGACCTTGGAGGTCTTCTAGTCTAGCCCCCTGCTCAAGCAGGAGAGCCTATATCGGTGGCTGTCCGGTCTCTTCTTAAAACCTCCGATGTTGGAGCACCCACAACTTCTGAAGGCAAGCTGTTCCACTGATGAATTGTTCTCACCATTAGGAAGCTTCTCTCCTTGATTCAGGGTTGTCAAACTCAGTTTCATTGAGGGACGCATCAGCATCGCGGTTGCCCTCGGGGGTGGGGTGGGTGAGTGTGGCCAGGGTGGGTGCGGCCTACTGGGTGGGCGTGGATGGAGTGGGTGTGGTCTACTTGGCGGGCATGGCCAGCTCTACATCGTTCGCGTCAAGGGTGCCTGTGGGGGCCTGGGCAGGAGTTGGACAGATCTGAGGGTCTCTGGCTGAAGGGGGTAGGACCGGAGCAAGCACCAAGGCATGGTGCATTTCTTCATTCCTCACAAAGAGTGACACCTCCCCAGCATGCACCCAGGGGGCGGGCCAACGCAACAGGGGCTAGTCCCTCGCTGTTTCCAGACGGCCTTGTGGAGCTAAGACTGAATGCGTTTCAGCATAGAGGGCCACCACAAAATTGTACATTGGCTCCCGCCCGGCCTGGGCCAGGGCCAAGGCAGCGGGGGCCGTTCCCTCACTGTTTCCAGGATGGCTTCACGGGCCACATGAAACCACTTTGTGGGCCGCATCCGGCCCCCGGGCCTTGTGTTTGACATGTCTGCCTTGATTAGTTTCCATCCATTGCTCCTTTTTCCTGCCTTCAGGTGCTTTGGAGAATAGGTTGACTCCCTCTTCTTTGCGGCTACCTCACAAATACGGGAATACTGCTATTGTGTTCCTTCCTAGTCCTTCTTTTCTCTAGATTAGCCAAACCCAAATCCTGCGACCGTTCTTCATATGTTTTAGTCTCCAGGCCTTTAATCATAAATAAATAAATAAATAAATAATAAATAAATACATTAAATTAAATTAAATTAAATTTGGTTGCTCATAGGGGTACAGCTTTTTTTTTTTTTTGCAGGTTCTTATCTCTTTAGAAGAGGTGTCTGTGTGTTTCTCTGAGGAGGAATGGTCTCAGCTAGATCCTGTTCAGAAAGACCTGCACAGAGAAGTCATGCTGGAGAACTCCACAAATGTGGCCTTTTTGGGTAAGGCCCCCTATCCTGTCCTCAGATGCTTAGAAAAAAAACATTTATGAATAAATAGAGCCACTTGTTTCTCTCTTTTCAAAAGTTCACAAAATGATCTTAACCTGGCTAAGAAAAGGAGGGGATCTGTCATCTGACAGTTGGAAAAAAGCCATTTAGTGATACTAGATGTAAATGTTATTACTGTGCTGACTGCTGTCTCTGTGCCTCAAATTCCTCCCTCTTGTTCTTTTCTCAGTTAATAGCAAATATTTCAAGATAAGCAATAATAATAATAATCAGATGTAGTTAGCACAACTCCTTGCTCCCGTTCTCCCACTTCTCCACCTTGGCAATAAATGTTACAAACTTCTTTTCCCTGATTCCTCACTTTCTTAAATGGAATTCCAGCTGTGAGTAGAATTCCATAAATAAAATTAATTTATCGAGTAAAAGGTGTAACAGCATAAAGGCAGTGGTGGGATTCAGATATTGAACAACTGGTTCTCTGTGTGGATGCCGCTTCTGGAAATCCGTTCTGAGCCTGGGCAACAAAAAATTAGCTACTGGTTCTTCCGAACTGGTGCGAACTGGCTGAATCCCACCACTGCATAAAGGTATACTCCTTTATTTAGAATAGAATAGAATAGAATAGAATATGGGATGGGATAGGATAGAATAGAATAGAATAGAATAGAATAGAATAGAATAGAATAGAATAGAATAGAATAGAAGATGGGATAGAATGGAATGGAATGGAATAGAATAGAATAGAATAGAATAGAATAGAATAGAATAGAATAGAATAGAATAGAATAGAAGATTGGATAGAATAGAATAGAATAGAATATGGGATGGGATAGAATAGAATAGAATAGAATAGAATAGAATAGAATAGAATAGAATAGAATAGAATAGAATAGAAGATAGGATGGGATAGAATAGAATAGAATAGAATAGAATAGAATAGAATAGAAGATGGGATAGAATAGAATAGAATAGAAGATAGGATGGGATAGAATAGAATAGAATAGAATAGAATAGAATAGAATAGAATAGAATAGAATAGAATAGAATAGAATAGAAGATAGGATGGGATAGAATAGAATAGAATAGAATAGAATAGAATAGAATAGAATAGAATAGAATAGAAGATGGGATAGAATAGAATAGAATAGAAGATAGGATGGGATAGAATAGAATAGAATAGAATAGAATAGAATAGAATAGAAGATAGGATGGGATAGAATAGAATAGAATAGAATAGAATAGAATAGAATAGAATAGAATAGACAGTTGGAAGGGACCTTGGAGGTCTTCTAGTCTAACCCCCTGCTTAGGCACAAATGGATGTTGTTGTGACAGTTTAAGAAGCTCATAAGATAGAAGTGTTTTATTATTATACTGTGCAGTTTTCTTATATGACCGTTATAACGACCTGCCATTCAAAATCCAACTTTTGTAAGGCTTTGACCAGAGTATTTAATGTTGGTCAGCAGGACACCTTTCAAAACAGTGGAGAATCCTTGGCAGATTTTCACTAGGAAATTCACACTTTACTACGCTATGAATTATTAGTTTGCTTCCTCTACCTTGCCTCAATTTCCATTCATTCTTTTTTCTCTTAAGGTAATAATGTTCAAGAGAACAAGGAAGCCTTCCAAATGTTCAGGGATGAAGAGAGAAGAGAGGAGTTTTCATACCCAATGGAAACAATGGAAAACGAAAGAAATCTGTCAAAAGACGGGAGTAAGAGGAACTCAACTTTCCCATCCATTGAAATTCAAGATTTTCTTCCCAAAGGAGATCAGAAAGAAAAACTAAAAGTGGAAAATGGGGAAGCATTTGAAGAGAGCTTAGATTTATATGAACAGTACACAATTCACATTAAAGAAGAGGATCTATGCCAAGAGGTTGAAAAAAGCTACAGTTGGACGTCTGGCCTTACTTTATGCGGAGAAGGCAAAATGAGAAATAAAGCATATCAAAATGCAGAGAACGGAAAGCATTTCGGCGGGAGCACGTCTCTTGTTCCCAGTGAAAGGACTGACTCGGGGGGAAAACCGTACAAATGCATGGAATGTGGAAAGAGTTTCAGCCAGCGTGGTAATCTCAATTCCCACAAAAAAATCCACACCGAGGAGAAACCTTATCAGTGTGACGAGTGTGGAAAGAGCTTCACTCAGAAGGTCAATCTTAACTCCCATAGAATGATTCACACGGGGGAGAAACCATATAAGTGTGAGGAGTGCGGAAAGAGCTTTACCCAAAATATTCAGTTGACTTCGCACCAGAGAATCCATACAGGGGAAAAGCCATATACATGCATGGAGTGTGGGAAAAGCTTCCGGTGGAGCACTCAGCTGACTTCCCATCAAAGAATCCACACAGGAGAGAGACCATATAAATGCATGGAATGTGGGAAGACCTTCAGTGAGAGCAGTTCCCTCACTTTCCACAAGAGGATCCACACGGGGGAAAAACCGTACGACTGCAAGGAATGTGGGAAGAGCTTCAGCATGAGCAGTTCGCTTACCTACCACAAAAGGATCCACACAGGGGAAAAGCCATATAAGTGTACGGAATGTGGGAAATGCTTTACGCAGAACATCCAACTTACTTCTCACAAAATGATCCATACCGGGGAGAAGCCATACCAATGCACCGAGTGTGGCAAAAGCTTCAATACAACCAGCAACCTCGCCTGTCACAAAAGAATCCACACGGGGGAGAAACCGTACAAATGTACGGCGTGCGGGAAGAGTTTCACTCAAAATATTCAACTCACATCCCACGTAAGGATTCACACGGGGGAGAAGCCGTATGACTGTAAAGAGTGCGGAAAGAGCTTTACTCAAAAGATTCAACTTACCTCTCATAAAAGGATCCACACGGGGGAGAAACCATACAAGTGCAGGAAATGTGGAAAGAGCTTCCGTAATAACGGCTCCCTCACTCTTCATGAAAGGATCCACACTGGAGAGAAACCGTATACATGCATGGAGTGTGGGAAAAGCTTCAGCCGGGGCAGTCATTTTGCTTCCCATAAAACAATCCACACAGGAGAGAAGCCGCATAAATGCCTCGAGTGTGGAAAAAGTTTCCGTGAAAACACTTCTCTTACTATTCATAAAAGGATCCACACGGGGGAGAAGCCATATAAATGCTTGGAATGTGGAAAGAGGTTCCGTGAAAATGGGTCGTTTACCTCCCATAAAAGAATCCACACAGGGGAGAGGCCCTATAAATGCATGGAGTGTGGAAAGAGCTTCACGACCAGCAGTAACCTTACATCCCATATGAGGATCCATTTAGGTATGAATATATTTACTTGGACCCTGAATATATAATGTATTTTCCTGAAAAGCTACCGTATATTCCGGTGTATAAGGCGACCCAGCATATAAGACGACCCCCCGACTTCAGCGGCAAGTCGCATGCCTAGAAAGTCGTCTTATATGCGGAAACTACCGTTATTTCTAGCGTATAAGATGATTCGGCGTATAAGACGACCCCCGACTTCGGCGTTGATTTTAATGCTTGCGAAAGTCGTCTTATACGCTGGAAAGTACGGTACTTTTCTCACTGTGAAGTTCTGATTAAAAACTGTGTGAGTGTCCAAAAGGTATAGTCAAAAAAGTACAATCAGAATTGTGTGTTTCTTTTGTCTGTGGAGATTCTCAGTCATCCAGGTCATGGTTGTCCCAAAGATGCTTTTTCAGGAGGCAACTGGACTTTCTTTGTTTTTCTTTAAAGACGTTTCATTCCTCATCCAAGAAGTTTCTTCAGCTCTGACTAGATGGTGGGGAGTGGAAGGATTTATATTCCTTGCAGACAGCTGGTCATTTGCATTCATTTCGAGAGTCATTGATGCCATTTGGAGGTTTACTTCTGTCCTCAGGGTCACCTGAGTAGGGCTGCAGGATGTTTTCTGCCCTGGGTCTCTTCACTGTTGAAGACAGGCGCAGGTTGTTGGGGATGAGTCTGTGTTGTCTGCATATCAAACTGAAGCGCAAACAGTTCCTGTAGTCTACAATGTTTCCTGGAAATCCGTTCATACTCCCACACCATTCGAAGGGTGTTCATCCCAAAGCGCCTAGCTCAGGGGTAGGCAACCCAAAACAAAGAGCCGCAAAAGCCTTTTGATATCTAAAATGAAGATTACACTGCATATATCCTTTTTTACCTTTATTATAGGTGTGTGTGTGTGTGTGTGTATGTGTATACACACACACACACAGGTAAAAAAGGATATATGCAGTGTTATTTTCATTTTAGATGTCAAAAGGGTCTCTCTCTCTCTCTCTGTCTCCCTCCCGCTCTATCTATCTGCCCTTGGTCTGCCAGTCCTCTTCCCCCACTCTCTTTCTTTCTCTCTCTCTTTTTCCTCTCTCTCTCCCTCCCTCCTTCTCTTTCTCTCTTTCTCTCTCTCTCTTTCTCTCCCCCCCCCCTCTCCTCTCTGCTGCTCACCTGGCCAGCTGGCTTCAAGCTGTTCTCCAACAAGCTCAGGATAGGCAACCTTTTATGACTCATGCAACTCCCAGAATTCCTGAGTCAGCATAGTCGAGCTAGCTAGCTCTCTCCTGCCCTTCCTGCTTTCTGCAGAGACGCAGCAAAGGGAGGAACTCCGCCCAATAAGCTTTTCAGCTCCTCGGAGAACACTGTGAGTGCACTCTCTTTTACACACACACACACACACACACACACACACAGAGAGAGAGAGAGAGAGAGAGAGAGAGAGAGAGAGAGAGACAGAGAGAGAGAGAGACAGAGAGAGAGACAGACAGAGAAAGAGACAGAGAGACAGAGAGAGACAGAGAGAGAAGCAGGGAAGCGCAATTGCCTCTCTCTGTCTCTGTCTCTCTCTGCAAATGGCAGAGGAGGCTGGGAGCCACAGGGGAAGGCTCAAAGAGTTGCATGCGGCTCTGGAGCCGCAGGTTGCCAACCTGTGGCCTAGCTAAATCTGAGATATCCTGCACATGGTGCAGGAATATGAGTGGATTTCCAGAAAACATATATCACACAGTTATGGGTTCCTTTTTTAAAAAAAAAGTTTTATCATTTTACAGTTCCAACCATGTGGCATATCAATAAGAGAAAATCCTTTTTTTCAGAAGTTTGGAGTTGAAGATGTTTGGAATGTCCAGTTTTGCTTCGAAAACCAGTAGAACCGCCATTTTATCCATCTTTGGATAAATTTGGAATTGTGTCCTATTTCCATTCATGGAAATGGTGCGCTCATGCATTGAATCTCATCTATGGTCTCTTTGTAGTTTGTAGCCTTACATTTCTAATGAGGTTTTTTTTTCCTTTTTGTCCCAAGTAAGAGACATGCAGGAGAATGAGAACAAAAAAGAAGTCAAGCTGATTGACATCGCAAATAGTGAAACGTGAAATGAGAGAAGAGAGATTTGGAAGTCCTGGGGAATCAAAATAGAGAAAATGGAAAGAAGGGATAAGTTTTCAAAAAAACATTGGCAGACATTCTGAAGATGTGGCCCAGAGGTTTCTACTGATCTGATAAGATCACAGAAGAACAAGAAGAGAATTTGCCTTTTGCAGTTATTTTTGTGCGGAACAAAAATCAAAGGCTGGAGGCAACCAGAATGAAGACAGATTGCAAGGAACACTTTTAGTCAACAATTTCTTTTTTTATTTTTTGCCCCAGGAACCCACCCTGGGGAAGAACCAAATAAATGTTTGGAGTGTGGAAATTGCTTCAGGAAGATTTTATAGAATTCAGATATCCTATATCCTGTACATGCATATGCAAAAGTCCTTTCTTTACAGCAGTAGGGCCGCTTCTGCCTTTCTGTAGTGTGACAAGAGCCAGAACAAAAACGACATTTTAAAATAACATTAAAATAGTCAAGGACACTTGTTACATGTCTGTGGAGTTTCTCAGTCATTCAGGTCATAGTTGTCCCAAAAGTGCTTTTTCAGGAGGCAACTGGACTTTCTTGTTTTTCTTTAAAATGTTTTGTTTCTCATCCAAGAAGTTTCTTCAGCTCTGACTGGATGGTGGGGAATGGAAAAATTTATATTCCTTGCAGACAGCTGGTTATTTGCATTCTTTTAGAACAGACATGTCAAATACAAGGCCCGGGGCCGGATGTGACCCGCAAAGTGGTTTCATGTGGCCCGTGAAGCCATCCTGGAAACAGTGAGGGAACGGCCCCCACTGCCTTGGCCCTGGCCCAGGCCGGCCAGGAGCCAATATACAATTTTGTGGTGGCCATCTATGCTGAAATGCATTGAGTCTTAGCTCCACAAGGCCATCTGGAAACAGCGAGGAACCAGCCCCTGCTATGTCGGCCCCGCCCCCTGAGTGCATGCTGGGGAGGTGTCACCCTTTGTGAGGAATGAAGAAATGCACCATTGCTTGGAAGTGGCCAGCAAATGACCCTCGCCTACTTCACATATCCAGCTTGATGGGCTCCGGTGGAGGAGTTTCAGCAGGCAGTGAACCATGCCTTGTCACTTGCCTCGGTCCCACCCCCTTCTGCGAGAGACCCTCAGATCTGTTCCATTCCTGCCCAGGCCCCCACAGGCACCCTTGACGCAAATGATGTAGAGCTGTCCATGCCCACCCAATAGGCCACAACCACTCTGTCCATGCCCACCCATTAGGCCACACCCACCCATTAGGCCCTCCGAGAGCAACCGCAATGCTGATGTGGCCCTCAATGAAATTGAGTTTGACACCCCTGTTTTAGAGGGTCGTTGAGCCCACCTGAATAGTGTAAATGTGTGTGGAGCTTTCTTGGCTGCAGGATGTTTTCTGCTGTGTCCCTTCACTGTTGAAGAATGCAATAAAAGAATGCAAATGACCAGCTGACTGCAAGGAATACAAATCCTTCCATTTCCCACCAACCAGTCAGAGCTGAAGAAGCTTCTTGCATGAGAAGTGAAATGTCTTCAAAAAAAACCCTCCAAGAAAGACCAGTTGCCACATGAAAGAGCATATTTGGGACAGACACTTGTTAGGATTAATTTCTGGTCAGTACTTAATTCTCTCTCAGTTTAGTCACATTGGAAAACTAGAGATCTGACAAATATTGTAAATAAATAATATGAATAATAATGTTTGGAAAGCTATTGGGAGCCTGAAGGTTTTGGAGTTGGGGGTTGGCTTGAAAGCGTTTTCTCAAAGAGCGCTCAGCCACGGTTGCTGCTCAAACTGGATAAAAGCCACTGGTTTGTTCGGTATCATCAGTATAATTTTATCACATTAAATTGGCAGAAGAGGCAGTTTAAAAAATAATTGCCAAACTCAAAAGAAATACGGACAGATGAAAGGAATAGCCTGAAATGAATCGGCTTCCGACAGCTACATTTAGGCAAGAAAAACCAAATGCACAAGTACAGCATAGGTGGCACCATGCTCAATAGTAGTAACTGTGAGAGGGACCTCAGAGTCCTAGTAGATAATCACCTAAATATGAGCCAGCAGTGTGCTGCAGCTGCCAAAAAGGCCAACACAGTGCTAGGCTGCATTAACAGAGGGATAGAATCAAGATCACATGAAGTATTAATACCACTATTCAATGCCTTGGTAAGGCCACACTTGGAATACTGCATCCAGTTTTGGTCACCACGATGTAAAAAAGATGTTGAGACTCTAGAAAGAGTACAGAGAAGAGCAACAAAGATGATTAGGGGAATGGAGGCTAAAACATATAAGGAACGGTTGCTAGAATTGGGTATGTCTAGTTTAACGAAGAGAAGGACAAGGGGGGGACATGACAGCAGTGTTCCAATATCTCAGGGGCTGCCACAAAGAAGAGGGAGTCAAGCTATTCTCCAAAGCGCCTGAAGGCAGGACAAGAAGCAACAGGTGGAAACTAATCAAGGAGAGAAGCAACCTAGAACTACGGAGAAACTTCCTGACAGTGAGAACAATTAATCAGTGGAACAGCTTGCCTCCAGAAGCAGTAAATGCTCCAACACTGGAAGTTTTTAAGAAGAGATGGACAGCCATTTGTCCGAAATGGTGTAGGGTTTCCTGCCTGAGCAGGGGGTTGGATTAGATGACCTCCAAGGTCCCTTCCAACTTTACTATTATTATTATAACTGTCACCACTGTACTCTTAGTTTTTACTTTTGTAGCTTTGCAATATGCCTTTTTTTTAAAGTAACTTTTTGTTTGCTTGCTGTTTTACGGGCGTTTCCTTTTTTTTTTGTTCTTTGCTGTGATGTCATCTCTGCTTTCTTTTACATGCAAAAACAGATCATTTCTTCAAAGTTGGTTATTTTTTTCCCGCATCTTCTGCTTTCTACTCTGAATAATAACTGGTAAACTTCCCTCCTATTCCCATATAGTCTATTCCAGTGATGGCAAACCTTTTATTTATTTATTTATGATACTTATATACCGCTTTAAGTGCAAGCACTCTCTAAGCGGTGTACACCAGTAAGCAATATATATATATATATATATATATATATATATATATATATATATATATATATATATATATATTTACATTGCCCCCAACAATCTGGGTCCTCATTTTACCTACCCCGGAAGGATGGAAGGCTGAGTCAACCTTGAGCCGGTGAGATTTGAACCACTGACCTGCTGAACACAGTCAGCTAAAGTGGCCTGCAGTACTGCACTCTAACTGCTGCGCCACCGAGTGCCCAAACTGCAACCCAAAATCCACTTATTTATCACCGGGTGCCAGGTGGCCGTGGCCCACTGGGTGGGCTGGCTGTGGTGCTCATGGCAGACTGGGTGGGTGTGGCCAAGGTGGGCGTGATCACCTCGATGTTGCTTGTGGGGAGGGACACTTGTGGGGGCCAGGCAAGGTTGGGGGAAATCCAGGGGGTCTCTGGCAGGTGGGGCAGTGGGCAGGAGGCTCATCCTGTGGGGTGAGGCAAGGCGAGGCAGGGCAGGGGAGCCATTGTCGCAGGGCAAGGCAAGGCAGGGACTGGGGGGCTACTGCCTGACACCATCAGCCCCTGCACACAGAGGCCAGTGAGTGCATGGGTGCTGGGATGCATCTGGCCACGTGGACCTCGGTGAGTTAGCGGGCGGCTGGTTGAAAAGAGACGGTTGCCATCTCCGGGGCATGGCGCATGTGCCCACAGAGAGGGCTCTGAGTGCTGCCTCTGGCATGCGTGCCATCGGTTCTCCAACACTGATCTATTCCAACCCCGCCTACAAGAAAAATCTCTCCCCTTTGCATTGCAGGTCCCCTGCATTACATGCAGAATCCAGCAGAGGGCTACCTCTACAAACTTGCCAAAGGAAAATAATGCGCCTGAACATTCGTTTCCTGGAAAGCGTATTGATGCTCCCTTGGCTCATCCAGAGGATGTCCAGGAATGTGTGACATCCCTGAACGTCTTGCCTTTCTAGGACTTTGTGCTCACTTGTGATAACCCTTTCAGCACTGCTGAAGTCAGTGAGGTTGCAGGGAAAGTTTTGTAAAGAGGGAGGTTCCTACACGACTGTCCAATTGCAGGCAGGAAAACAAAGGGGGTTTACATGGGGAATTAAAACGTGAATGCAAAAATTCCTTCAGGTTCCCTGAATCCTGGAAGGGGAAGAACCCAGCTCCTCTGCTGCCCCTTTGCATGCATGGTTGAGGAAAGGGGGGAAAAGCAGAGCGCCAGAATTCTTTTTGCTCCAGGAAAAAGTCCAGAATTCCCAGAAATCCTTCATTCCCATTTCCTGGTTTAGCTGTGGGTGTGTCGGAGGTGGGGGTGGGAGAAAGGAAAGTCCAATGCTGTGAAGGACAATATTGCATAGGATGGTTGGGCACAGTCATCAGCTGTGATCTCGTAGCACAGTCTCCTTTACCTTGATGACAGCCTGAAGTCTTCGCAGATTGAACAGTTTCCCATCAGTTCTGTACCTCAGATTAACTCCCACTGAGCTGTTCTGAAAGGCATCTGACAGCATGGCTGAAAACATCATGCTGAACAGGGTTGGTGCCAGCACGCAGCCTTGCTTAACGCTGTTAGTAACAGGGAAGGCTTCTGAGGCTCCACCGTTATTCAGAACACGAGCCGCCATGCCATCATGGAACTGTCGTACCATCAGAATAAATCTGTCAGGGCACCCAAACTTCGACATAATGCGCCATAATCCTTCCCAACTAACTGTGTCAAAACCCTTGGTGAGATCTACGAAGGTGGTGTATAGTTCACAATTCTGCTCCTGACATTTCTCCTGGAGCTGTCGAGCTACAAAGATCATGTCCACTGTGCCACGCATAGGAACCTAGAATAGCAATAGCACTTAGACTTACATACTGCTTCACAATGCTTTACAGCCCTCTCTAAGTGGTTTACAGAGTCAGCCTATTGCCCCCAACAATCTGGGTCCTCATTTTACCGGCCTCGGAAAAGTGGAAGGCTGAGTCAACCTTGAGCCAGTGAGAATCGAACTGCTGAACTGCTGGCAGACGGCAGTCAGCAGAAGTAGAATGTAAGATCCATGAATCAAGGTAAGCTGGATGGGATCAAACATGAGATGTTGCGATCGAACATCAGTAACTTGGGACTCAGTAAACTAAAGTGGACTGGAGTGGGAGGATTTCATTCAGATGATTATTGTATCTATTACTACATGAAGAAAAGCACACCTTAAACTTGGTAATAGAGGGGACAAGGATAAAACGAGTGTCAGAATATGTAGGGATGACAATCACTGAAAAATGGAAAAATGGATGTAGAGATGCACTAAGGGATCACAAAGAAGCATCTCATATAAAGCATATTCATCCCCACTCTATGTTACCGGTGGAGGCAGGTTGTTCCACTGGTTAATTGTTCTAACTGTCAGGAAGTTTCTCCTTAGTTCTAGGTTGCTTCTCTCCTTGATTAGTTTCCACCTGTTGCTTTTTGTCCTGCCTTCAGGTGCTTTGGAAAATAGCTTGACTCCCTCTTCTTTGTGGCAGCCCCTGAGATATTGGAACACTGCTATCATGTCCCCCCTTGTCCTTCTCTTCATTAAACTAGACATA